CCTGATTTCATTTCTTGCAAGATCTGGCTGGATTACATTTATGAAAATAGGCTGGTCCTGATTTCATTAAGTAATTCCTACAACTTAAGTATTAAAAGTAAAAGTATTGATTTAAAATGAGCAGTTAGATTTTCTGTAAGGACATTTATTAGGAGGTGACCTCCCCAAAAACTGCAGAAATGACTGTTTTATTAAAATAATTATGTTAAATTTAGGATGCACTAGTCTGGCTGTTTCAATTTATATACATATATCAAGGCTGCACAAACATTTTCCCCAAAATAAAAACCTATGTGAGGGCTGCAGCCAAATACAATAATATAATTCATGAAATACAAATACCTCCTCTACTTTTGAATATGGCATCAGAATTTTATATAATTATACTTCTCATTCAACCACAATTAAATTCACTATCTAAGAGGCACAGTTTATATGGATAGTATTTATTTTTTACAATAACAAGCTAGAATAAAACAAGCAAATATTAAATAAAAGTAACAACTTTCTGCTTCTTGCCTTTTTTAAAAATGTAAAGAGTAGAAAGTACAGATAATTGTGTGAAAATGTAAGAAGTAGAAGTAAAAAATTACTGAAACATTATTACTCAAGTAAAGTACAGATACCCAAAAGTTCTACTTAAGTACAGTAAAAAAGTATTTGTACTTAGTTACTTTACATCTCTGCCAAATTACAAGACAGAACTTATCAATGGTTTGTTATTGATTTGTGACCAAATGAACTTTACCTCCAGAGGCTCAACATCAGCTGAGGACTCCACTTTGTTGGTCTCTTCAACGTCAGGATCAGCTGACAACAACAAAACAACAACTGTGTTTTAAACCTGCAATGACTCTATATTGTAACATAATAATAGAATTGACTTTTTAATGTTGCAAGAGTCACTACAGTAGGCAAACTCCTATTAAAGGTTTGGCCAGTTGTTTTACTCCACAGCCCTAATGTACTTTTTAAAATATAATTTGCACTTGCTTATAAATGAGAAATAAATAAATGCAGCTAAATCAAGGTACAAAAGAGGCATTTAATGTACTGTTCAGAGGTGGTTCTAGGGGCGGGGCCACAGGGACTGTCCTTTCACTCATCTGGCCTTGCCCAATAACAATGATGCTGAGCGCAGTTCCACTCCCAACCACTAGTGGCGCTAATGAGTCAAAGATGAAAGTCCAACATGAAGCAAGCTTACAGGCAGTGGTGGAGAAAGTACTCAAACACTGTACTTAAGTATAAGTACAAATAAACAGGCAAAAATGTACTGTAGTAAAAGTAAAAGTACCACATCAACATTTTTACTTGAGTAAAAGTAAGTAAGTACTTGCTTTTAAAAATACTTAAGTATTAAAAGTAAAAGTACTAGCTTAATGTATTCCCTAATGGTCTACAATATTATGAAGTGTGTCTGTGTATATTTTAAATACATCAATGGTGTGCGATTTTAGTGAACAATGCTGCAGTTTGTGTTGACACTCTGTGACACTGTTCAACAGAAGCTGTAAATTTGCCACCATCGTCCTTTATCAAATCTCAACAAGTCGTTTTTTGAACCAGTTAACTTGAATAAATAAGGCCATGAGTGGCACATTTCCTCCTTTGTGGAATCCATTGTGGGAGTGCTGCTGCTGCTGCTGCTGCTGCTGCTGCTACTCCAGGTGATGCAGAATCGCTCCGCTTTTTCATTTTTTTTTCTTTTTGAAGGAGGGTCTAATGGTACTTTCCTGCTTTGCATTGCTTCAATGGACCAATTAGAGAAATCCCCCTCTCGCCACTGATTACTTTCAAACTAAACAAACAAACGAACAAAAAAAAAAAAGTAATGCGACATGACATGAATGTACTTTGTAATTCAACGCATTACAGAAATGTAGTGGAGTAGAAAGTACAGATACTTAATGTAAAATGTAGTGGAGTAAAACTAAAAAGTACCCATGATGAAATCTACTTAAGTAAAGTACAGATACATGAAAAATGTACTTAAGTACAGCAACAAAGTACTTGTACTTAGTTACATCCCACCACTGCTTACAGGTCTTTTTCAATTTGAACAATTCTGCAGAAAAAGTTTTTTTTACTGACAACGATGGCTAGATTTTCTTACATGCTGTGTGTTTGAGAGTATTTTATTTATTTACAGTTAAAAAAGTCATGTAAACATGATACAGAGAATTTACTGTGCAAGTTTTTACATGTGTTTGAACACGTATGACTGATTAAATGCATAAACCTTACAAAAACTGGGGATTTGTGTGCAGGTATGTTGAAAAAATACTTGGCCCCTTTATGAATACTGT